GGCATGATTCATACATTGCCAACAGGCTGTATAATTTGCATCAGTATCTATGTTTCAATAGAATTTTGTAATGAGGCTATTTAAATGCTCTAATCCTTTTATGAATGTGTGTGGGAGCCTGGAGATGAGGAAGGGTAGGAGGCCAGAGCTGGATATCTGCAGGGCACATCTCACATGTGACCTGTCAGGGCCAACTCTGGGCTGAAAAAGCTGCATCTCTGTTCAAACCCTGGCTTTGTCGTTCTGATACGAACACACATTTCAGCTGCAGATCCTCTGGGTAGACATTTCTGAATCTAGGCAATGTAATCTAGTCCCTTCTCCTTAAAGCGCTTTAATTCAGAGCCCATATATAGCTGTCAGTTCTGCTCTAGGTCGCAGCAAGACTTGAAGCCTGATGCTGTATCACAGATGACAGGATGCTTGCATGTGGAAGTTTGGATGTATTTGGATGCATATGTGTAATCTCATGAATCAGAAGCTTGATTTTTACTTAATACTTGGCTTTCAACTTCTGTGGAGTTAACTCTTGCTTTGTACTGATTTAGAGGCCAGTTCCTGGAGGCCAATATGTTTGATCAACATGAGGGTACGATGGTAACAAGAAAAAGATGCTGCCACTTAGAGTAATTGTGCTATGCAAACTAGGAAGGGCTCCATGCAGTGCTCATGCTGTCAGTATTTTAATGAAAATACTGGTAAATAAGTAAATAAAAAAATCTAGTATTCCTACTGAAACACCTTTTCCAACTAGCATTCTCCCCAAGAAGACTTCTGAATGTCTCCAGAATCTGACCTTTCCCCAAGTAAGGAGGAAGACCGCAGGCGTTAAAGCTGCAGGGAGCTGAGACACAGATCATGCACTTGCTTTTCTGTTTCTGTTGCCTATTATAAGCCTTGTTGCTTTTGGTCATTTATTAGAGGCCTCACACATATAAAGAACTGGAAATCTGAATTTTTGTGTTTAATTGCACCTGATGGGTATTTCTTCCATAATTTGCACTTTGTTACCCATTTATGATTTTTGTTTCTACATCATTCTCTGATTATGGGGGCAAAGTGTCCTTTAACATTGCGCCGTGCAGAACAAGTACTTCGTTTTATTTGTTTAAAACTCACTGTCTGAGGATGTCATTCAGTGCCTCTCTTCTTGTGTGGTGAGGCAGAAGTTGCATCTGGATCATTTTCTTTAATATCCCGTGGTGGGCCTTCAAGTAGTTATTAATCCTTTTCATCTCAAGATAGTTGAGTTTCTTTATAAAGGTCTTTGCAGGTCTTTCCTAAAAGACATTAACAGAAGCATTAATGGTATTTAAAAGTCCTGTATGAACTGGATCATTTACATAGGAAGGAGCTTGATGAAGCCTTCAGAAGACAGCAAGGAGGAGGAGGAGGAGGAGGAAGAAGAAAAGAGGGAGGAGGAGGAGGAGGAGAAAGAGGAGGCATGGCTTCCTTCCACAAAAGGAAGGTTGATGATTCCCCATTAGTTCAGAGTTATTCATGTGCCAACTGATACCACTCTTTAGGATACTTTTAAGTGGAATTGCCTCAAATGCAAATACCCTCTGGAGCCCTTTTCCAGATTTGGTACCTGCTATTTGGCTGACTTCAAAATCTATTTGAATGGTAAGTTTACACTTCAATTAGTGGAACAGCTATTCAGTATCTGACCTCTCTAGGAACTTCTGGGTGAATAGGACTCAGGCCAGCTGATTTTATCATCCATTTTACTTATCTGAGCTATTTTTTTTTCTTCCAACCATTCAATGGGAGAGAACTCTTCAGACCTGTCTTTTGTGAAGAAAGAGTACATACAGATAAGAACGTCTCCAAGCTCTTTGGTAGTGAACACTACAACAAAGAGTTGAGTTAGCATCTCTTCTGTGGCCTTTTTTGTGATCCTTCTACTCCTTGGTCATCTCTCAACTCTGCAAAGCTTCCTAGTTCTTGTGGTCTAAGGTTTTATTAGTAACTTTTACACTTGCCTTTAGCAAGGTGTTCTTTCAAATCTATGTTTATAGTTTTAAGCCTCATTTGTCTGGGTTTATGATCTATGTAAGCTCCCTTGTTTGCACACAACTTCCACTTTTTGAACAATGTCTTTAACCTTCAGATAAGGCCTCTTCTTCAATTTAGCTCTGTCACTTATAGCCCTCTAAGAATACATACATATATTTTTTTACAAGGAATATTCATTTATTCTGCATCTCTTAAGACGATGCTTTTAAGGAGGGCAAAATGTCACCTTTCTAAAGACAGCTCTCTAGAAGAAAGGAGAGAGTTCAGAAGCCTTTACTGAGGTGAGACTGCCTCCAGCTTAAAAGGCAGCCTGAGCCTCTGATACATTGCTATGTCCAGTGCTGTGACTGCTGAGAAAACCCAGCTCAGCACAGGTCTATCCCCAGCTCAGGGAAGGGCCATTGGCAGGAGGTTTGCTATGTGGCCCATCCAGTGAGGTGGCCAACGGAGAAGGACGGTGGTCCTGCACCTCCCTGTCGCTCCTCAGGTGCGGTTCCCTTCCTCTCCTGGCTGGCATCGCCAGTGCCTGCTGCAGCAAAACAATCATAAGAGTCTGCATTTTGCCTTTGTTTCATTTTTACTTTATTTATATCCTGTTTATCTTGAAAATTTTAGATGCCGGGTGGAACATGGAACTTGGTCACAGGACTAGCAAGGATCTGGGCCACTGAATTCATTCCCTGGCTCCTAGGCACCACAGTAAAACACAATCTTCATTAATTTCTCAACTGGAATTCAAAATAGTCATCTACAGTATTTTCCTCACTGGGTTGTTTCCTGTGATAGCAATCGATTTCATTAGAAGCTTCTTCGGAATTTAGTCTTCTATTGTTTTCTATCAGAAACGTCCAACAATATGTACAATACAATATAAAGAAAGAAAGGCTTGGCATGAATATTATTTAAGTCCACTAGGATTTTTTTCCTAATCCTCCAGATGTCTAAAAATATAGAAACTGCACAGAGCTACAACATGAAAAGTTTCTCAGCAAGCCTTACAGATATAAAACCTGTTTTTCAGGTGAGATTGATTTTGCTATAAGGAGGGAAAAATGAAAATAAATGATAGAAACAGCAGTTTACGATAATGAAAGGGAAGAGAAACCCTGTTGTGGCTCTAAGTGGGATGCTCCATGTTTCTGTCAAGGCATGCCCACAGCAGAAAATAAGCTGATCCCAGCTGCTTCGAAACAGCTTTCCACTACTGAATATCACAAAGGTGACTGGTGACAGGTTTGCAGGAAGGATTTTTTCTCTCATTGCCACAGTGGGAACATGCACTTGCCATGTTGCAAGAAGAACTTCTTGCCATGTAGTGACCACCTCACTTCTTGGCAGTGACAGTTCTTTGAGGCATTAGGTTTGGGTCTGATTTAAAATAAGTGTCTGAAGTGCTCCATACCAAACACCACATGTGAAATCCCACCTGTACTCGGCTGACACAGGTGAGGAAAGCATCTCGTACTACCTCCAAAGAAATAATACCACTACAGCAGTCTGAAGGAATACGCAGGTTGGGTTTTCCCTCAGAAGACATCCAGATGGGCTAGAAAGATGTCAAGGCAATATTCACAAGCTAAATCTAGGACTGCATTTTGGCACTAATATCTGTAATGACGATACATATGGTGGTTGGGTGTATTCTTCTTTCCTCATGTGTCCTTATGCAAACGAAGCACTGTAGGTGATCAGCGCACTGAATTCCAGTTTCTGCAGGAAAAAAAAGCTGCTGAATGTAAATCTGTGGTATAAATACTAGCTTTATGGGAGAATAACTGCAGGTTCATTCTTCTGAATAAACTTTTCTTATAACCCAGAAAATGAAAGACATCTCTCATTTATTTTCGTCATTAAGTTAAAAATAGTAGTCATAAGGGTTTTTTTGAGAAATCAGACCATCTGCCCAAATAATAAAATGAATGGCAAAGAGACTATTTATTAAAGAAAAATATTTTAGAGGGAGGAGTGGAATGACTCCAAGCTCTTATACTTTAAGAGGACATTTAGAAAGATCTAATAAAAATGTAAGATCACCAGTTCCAAGCCATCACCTGAGTTATTAGGTATTTAAAGTTCCCATTGTAAATTGGATTACTGTAACAGTATGGCTTAAATAGCCTTAACAATAGATCCTAAGTATTCTAGGTCACACCAGAAAAATGTAAAAAGAAAACCAAGAGATTTTAGGTTCAGGTATGCCGACTTTAGCTTCAAAACAGGATAAAATTTTAACCCTCTGACTCCCTTTATTTGTTATCACAAATAAATATGATAAAAATCTTGACACAGTTTGTAGTGTAAGCACCGAAAAACCCAGGTACCATGATACCTATCTTCAGCTGAATCTGTCCAGTTCTCAGAATATCAGGTATAAATGGAAAACCTCTGTGCAAGTTCCCTTGTCGGGCAGCTATGACTGCATCTAAGGAAACGTCTGGTTCAAGGCTCCCATAAACATGGATTGCCTGTAGTGAGATTTTCAGAACAGTTTAAAGGGATTTCAGAATACATAGTCTAGAGTCTTTTTGGTACAATGTAAAAAAAACCCAAGCACAAACCTGTGTTAATAATCAGTGCCTGAGATTTCTAGGTCTTTTAAAAAGCTTTCAAAGCCAGTTTGTTATAATATGGTCCTACACATCCAGCTATAGGGAGTGCGACTGTGCCTTGATATACTCTAAGATGCCAGGTGTTAACTTCTGTGTTTCCACTGAAACGCAGTAATCATGACAGAGAACTTGCAGTATTCTTCACAGGGCAACCTTTTAAGAGGAAAAAACGCAACAGCTGCTGATTTCAGGCCCAGGTTGGATTTTTTCAAGCTCCTGGGTAAAGGCACGTCCCAGGGGCCAGAAGTCTGAGGACAGACTAGTGCAGCTGCACCACGGCCTCTCCCTGCGCCCTACCGTAAAGCTGGTGGCCAAAAAAGGGTCACATATGGCTGCATACAGGTGCCAACTCTTCGCCTTGTTTTCACACAGAATTTGTCAGACCGTAGCTGCTCGCGTCAGGCCGGAGCGGGAGGATGTCCTGTGTCATTTTGCTGGTGCAGTTTGAGGGACTGCAGCCAAAAAAAAAAAACCCCAACCGTGTAACACGAAGAACTGAAGACTAAACCGAGCAAGGCTGCAGGTAAGAGCTGTTATTTTTCCCCGCCATTTTTGGGGTGACCAGGCACGGGGGCCTGCTCTCCTCACCGCCATCAGTTTGCTGAGGGACAGCTCGGTGCCTCGGGAGGGCCACGGCAGGGGGGGGGACGGGGACAGACAGGGCCCCTCGGGGCAGACAGGGGCCCTCAGGGCGGACAGATAGACAGGGACCCTCGGGGTAGACCCTCAGGGCAGACAGACAGACAGACACCCTCGGGGCAGCTGTCCCTCTACGCTTGTTGGAGGTGGGGGGGGGAGGGCGTCCTCAGCCAGCACCCCTTTCCCGCCTGCAGAAGGTTTGTGTGTGTGTGTGTGTGGAGGACAAGCTGGTCCGCCCCACACTCGGTATTTTGGGGACTGGCGCCAGCGCCGAGGGTCACCTCACGCAGGCGGCCCCTCGGGGCTGCCCCGCCGCGGCCACCTCAGGCGAAGCGCCTGAGGCGGGGAGCGGGGGGGGG